TATATATATATATATATATATATATATATATATATATGTTATATTAGTATGCTAAATTAGAAAAATCAACTTAAAACTGATTTTTAAAAATGTTTAAATCTTTCAAATTTAGGGTTTAAAGGTTCCATATCAATCTATTCATTCAGACGATGACATAGGAGGGTAATTTATTTTTAAGTAAATAGTTTCTTCAGTATAATTGTATTGTTATATTTTTTCAATATAATAAAAAGTAATTATAATCCTAAAAAAGGTAATTTTATTAATTTTATTTAACATTTGTGAATATTTTATAGAAATAATGTATTTGATTTATAATAACTATTTCGAATTTTATGAAAGAAAAAAAATAATATTAATATATAATTAAGTTCGGAAAAAGTAACAATAAATTTATAAAAACAAGAAATAAAGGATAAATAAAAAGTTTTCTTTCTCTTATGATGATAAAAAAAATATATATCAATATTTGTTAAGATAAAGTGAGTATCTGTTAGGTTGAAAAGAAAAAGTAAAATATGATTATATTTAGTAAAAGTGAGGCTAAAAATGTTTAGTGAAGATATTTGAAGTGTTCCATGGGAGAGAGTGAGAGAGAGGACGAAGAAAAGGAGGTGACCTGTTTAAGAGGGTGTGTTTGAAAGGTGTGTGGTAGAGTATTCTCCATCGAACAGACTGTGTGATGATCCAGTATAATCCAAAACCAAACTCTGACACCATAACACTCATCCAACACCACCTTCCTCTTTCGATTCTGCCCATGTTCACCATTCTGTAAACCCAGATCAAACAAATAGCGCCAAATATTGTTGTTGCAAATACCTTGTACAATCCTCGGAATCTTCCTTCCTTTGTCTCAAACAAACTAACAGGGGATTCATCTTCTCTCATACCTTCTTCTCTCATCCTCTTTTTCTCTCTCTCTCTCTTGATGAAGTTGTTCTGTCTTTATGAAGGGAAGATAGAGTATGCTGATTGGTAGATACGGTTGTACAGAGTGTATAATAACTTTTTGTTATAATTTGTGATATTTTTTAAAAAACCATTTAGGCTTTGTTGTTTTAGGTGATTCCGTATTACGCACGTTTTTTTTTTAAATTATTGCTTTTATTTTTGTTTCGGATGTGTGTAGGGTTGTGCCGTCCAATATCTCCACGTTTTTCTTCACTCGTACTTGGTCTGTCCGGTCTTCCGTCTGCCAAAGTCAGTTGAGAGCGCGTTTTTCTATCGAATAGTAATAAATGTGCAGTAAATCCAACCTATCTATCCCTCACCCTGGATCTGTATTTATAGTTTTCGCTATGGGCTTGGGATTAGTGAAAAGTTAATCACGACCCAAATTCGGCTCTTGGATCGGCCGGCCCTTATGGGCGTCATGTGTAACAAACGGCATGTCCGGCCGGCCTTCATAGTGTATCCGGCTGATAAGATAAAATCACGGCCGGCCCCTATGGGCGTCATGTGTAACACATGGCATGTCCGACCGGCCTTCATAGTGTATCCGGCTGATAAGATAAAATCGCGTGATCTCGGTCGTGTGGGTGTCCGGTTTGTTGCATCGATCCTTGGATGACGAACCAGAATAGCGTGTTTGGTCTAATGTAGACGCCCGGCCTATCTGGCGTCCGATCCTACTGGTACAATTTTGTATATACAAATAATAAAATAATTAAATTATTATGCAATGAGATACTATAAAAAAATTGTTGTATTATTGTAATTGTTATTATTAAAGTAATTATATTCTACGTTTATTTGGTTAAGTTTTTTGGTTGAGTTTTTATATGTCAAGATTTTTAGGTTGAATGTGTCTAGATTGAGTTTTATTGGTTTACTTCTTTTAGAATAAGCTTTTCAAACCGAGCTTTTGTAAGTCTAGCTCTTGTTAATCGAACTCTTCTAGGAAGAATTCTCTGTACCAACTCTTCTATGCTGATTGGTAGATACGGTTGTACTGAGTGTATAATAACTTTTTGTTATAACTTGTGATGTTTTTTCAAAAACCATTTAGTCGAGTGACCCGTGTTACGCACGTTTTTCTTTTTAAATTATTGCTTTCATTTTGTATATACAAATAATAAAATAGTTAAATTATTATGTAATGAGATATTATAAAAACTAAGTTGTATTATTGCAATTGTTATTATTAAAGTAATTATATTTTATGTTTATTTGATTAGGTTTTTTTACTTGAGTTTTCATAAATTAAGATTTTTAGGTTGAGTTTGTCCAAATTGATTATTTGTTGATTTCTTTTAAATTGAATTTTTCAAATTAAGTTATTATAGGTCTTGTTCTTTGTTAGTCAGATTTTTTCTAGAAAAAATTATCTGCATATATCGATTTTTTTAATGTCAAATTCTAATAGGTCGACGACCTCTTAAGGTTAAGCTTTTACAGGTCGATTTTCTCTAAGACAAACTCTTATAGGTCAACTTGATCAGACAGAACTCAGGCGAAGCTCTTACTAGCCAAGGTTGTAAAAGTCGAGCTTTCTAGGTCGACTTCCTCTAGATCATGCTTTAACATGTCGAGTTCTCTATGCTGAGCTCTAAGAAGCTTATTTATGTTGGCTAACTTCTTCCAGGTCGAGTGGTTACAGGTTGAGCTATGTAGACCGAGCTGTTCAAGTTAAGCTTGTATAGGCTGACCTTCTTCTATGGAGCTCCTGCAAGGTAAGCTTGTATAGGTCGATGCTCTCATACCGAGCTTCTTTAGGCCAAGTTCCTCCAGTCCGAAGTCAAACTCTTACAGGCCAACCTCCTCTAGGCTAACTTCCTCAAACCGAACTCTTTAGGTTGCTCCTTCGGGCCGAGCGTGTACAGGTCGAGGTTGTACAAGCCGAGTTTGTACAGGTCGGCCTTCTCCTACCAACTTTATGGGCCAAGTTCGTAAAATTGTTTTTATTTATATGAAAAAATAATAAAACAGTGAAATTATTATTTAATGAAATATGATGAAAATGTTATGAAAGTTATTAGTATTAAATGATGAGGTAAATGATTGATCATTGACATTTAACTCCATTAGTAAGAGTTTGAAATTAGATGATATTATTGTAAATGTTAAATCAATGTGATATGAAAATAATTTCAATTGCATATAATAAATAAAATTGATATTACATGATTGATTTTGAAAAATACTTAGTTAAAAAAATTATAAGCTATAGAATACAATTTTAAAAAATTATAATCAGGTTGAGGTTATGGAAAAGTGTTTTTAAATTTCATGAGTATTATGAACCCGTGGACGATTTAGTTTTGTATTATGAATGAACATTACTCAGTTGTCTTGTCAAGTTCTTATTGGTACTCAACAATATTGTGAAGTTTCCCTCTGTATTGTTAAGTTGTCTATTTTACTTGGCTTTGTTGCCGAGTTGTCTAGTTTACTTTACTATGTTACCGAGTTGTCCAGTACTCAACTGTGTTGCATAATTGTTGAATCTACTCGGTTGTGTTGGTTAGTTGTTGAAACACTTGGCTAAGTAAAATGGATCAGGGGTTGCATAGTTGTTGAGTGTTTTGGTAGGAAGAAAAAGTACCCACTCTAGTAAATGATAACATGGCATTGTAGTTTGTAGACACAATTTACATATTGATGAATCATTATTTTGTTCTATTCACTTAGCTTTCTACATCGAATTTAATTAGTGAAATGTGCTTAACTGTCCATTATTCTTTCAATTTTGTTATTTGGGTTTAATTTGACCAATAATTCATATTTTAATTAATTTGAATTATCTGAGTTTAATTTGACCAATAATTCATATTTTAATTAATTTGTCCATTACTATTTTTAGGAGAACTTCGAAATTATATTTTAGCACTTAAAAAGAGAGTTGTCACGTCATTTGGAGTTGTCACGTCATTTGGAGTCGTCACGTCATTTACTATTGTCCACATCAGTAACTGTTTTTAATTTAGTTTGTAATCTTGTTGAGTCAGACTTTTGACTCTTTGGACCCATTTTTGCAATATATCACAAGTTTAAATCTAAGTCATATGAATGCTGCATGAATGTAGAGAGAGAAAGAGAAAGATTGTTGAGAATAGTGAGGAGGTGTAGGGTATTTTTGGAATAAAAGAAAATAGTGGGAAGGTGTAGAATATTTTTGAAATAAAGGAAAATAGTGGGGAGGTGCATAAACACTTGGGGTGGTGGAGGGAGCAACACCCTTTTGAAAATTAGGCACATTTTGAGGGGCTCTCTTCCTACTTTTCTGGAGGTTAGGTTAGGGTTTATTTTCGTTTTTGTTCTTCTCTTTTTCTGTACTGGATTTGTTTGACATTTTCATTGTAATTACATGCTTGATTTTGTTTCTGCAATTGGGTTTACTAATCTTGTTTTCGGTTCTTATTTACTACACCCGTTTCCAGTCACCATATTAAATTTGTTATGTGCTTACAATTAGGTACACACTTAGTTGTTTAATTTGTGTTTAATCTTCGCTTAGCTGATTAGAGTCACAGTTGCTTAATCTGTGATAGTGCAGAATTAATTAATTAGGTGCATTACATTTGCTTAATTTATTTTTAAGAAAATTGGATTAATATTCACTTAGTTGATTAATTTGTGTTGGATTAGGGATGAGAGGAGAGGATAATTATTGTTAATCAGGGATTAGAAGTGAATAAATTATATTTTTTTAATTTTATAATTATATAATTTCATAATTTCTCAGTTTTATAACTTCATAATTTTTTAACAGTTTTATAATTTTATAAATTTATATTTG